CCTAATAAAAGACTTTGGCAGAAAGCCTATACAACAATAACTAATTAGCTGTTCGATTGCATATACCTGTTTATTTTGTTATGATTATTACAAATTGTTGATTAATATTGATCAATAAATTGAGATTGTTATTTCCGAGTCCATAAATAGTTATTTCAGTTTGTTCACCTCTACCACAATTTCTCAAGATTTTATGAAAGTAAAACAAAATATATTTTCAAATTTTAATGAGACGTAGATCTTCTTCTACGAGATAAAAGACAAATAAATATAAATTTGTATTTTACCTCTTAGAAGTAATGCCAAATGCACGTAGTGCTTATAATGACAATCAGAAAAGAAGTGTGTTAATTTATAAAACGTAAATTGGTGGCAAACAATACATATTTAGGTCACAGGGTATACAAAGTCGTCCCGAGCAAAAAACTATTTCTATCTCTTTCAACACAAGTTCCACACTATTTTTTTAGCTGTAGTTTATATACATATATATTCATGCACAAGTTTCACAAAAGCTGAACATCATCTGATTTTAGACTTTTTTAAACGTCAAAGGTGACACCTCTGTATACTTTGTGATTTAGGTACCGTTACCGGTTTACTCGTTAGATTCTTCCAACAAAGTTGCTATAAAGCGGAGTTGCAAAAAATAGTATTTGCATATGTTATCAAAACAAGTGTAAACCATAAATCGAACTTGAACACTGTTCATATTTCCGAAATCAAGAATCATTAAATATTTTTTTTTTTTAAATATTTTCTGTTCTTCAACAAATGCTGGATATACAGCGATGGACATATAAATGGCACACATTTGAATAAGTTTTTTTGTTAGGCTAAAGTATGGCGAATACTATTAATCAAAAACAAATTTTTGGACTTATCCAAAGGTTTATTATTTGTATTTATGAATGATATAAACTTAAGTCGAAATTCATTAATTAACAAAAAATATACATAATTTATAAAAAAGAACATTGGATTGAGCTGGACACATAAATGGCACAAACTTAAAAAAGTACTTTTAATATTGCATTTGTTGATTTTTTGGTATGTACAAATGCTCTACCATTAATATTTTGTACTGTAACCTTTGTTTTGGATGACAGCTTCACATCTACCACCCATACTTTCCACAAGTTTTTGGCATTTTGTTTTGGGTATGGCATACCAAGCTTCCTGAACGGCTGACCATAATTCGTCCATATTTTTATAACTTTTTTTGGCGATTTCAACCTTGACTTCATTCCACAGGTTTTCAATAGGGTTTAAGTCAGGGCTCTGGGCTGGCCAATCCAAAACGGGAATCTGTTCCGAACGAAACCAATTTTTTACTAGGTTTGACGAGTGTTTGGGGTCATTATCTTGCATGAATTTCCACTTAATTGGCATAGAATCGAAAGCGAATGGTTCTATATGGTTTTTTAGAATATCCAAATATTGATATTTGTCCATTTTTCCCATTGATTTTTACAAGTGGACCTACGCCATGCCAAGAAAATGCACCCCAAACCATAATGCTACCACCGCCGTGTTTTACCGTCTTCTGCGTGCACCGAGGATTATATTCTTGGTATCTAGGACGACGAACAAAGGTTCTGCCATCTGGTCCAATTCTATTAATTTTTGTCCCATCACTCCATAAGACGTTTTTCCAAAAATTAATAGGATTGTCCTTATGGGTTCTGACGAAGGCTAAACGTTTTGAAACATTTCTTTTTGAGAGCAATGGTTTTTTCCTGGAAATGCGCCCAAACAAATTTGCCTCGTTTAATCGTCTTCTGACAAGCCTGCTGGATATTTCCAAGCCAAAAGATTCATTAATATCAGACGCTATCTGTCGTGAAGATTTGAATGGATCAATTTTTGCCATTCTTACCATTGCTGCATCTGTACGCAAGCTTGTTTTTCGAGGTCTTGGCTTCCGACTTTTGCCCTTAATCAATACATCGGGATTCTCTTCACATGATTTAATAGCATTGTAAACTTTTTTTCTTGAAACTTGCAGTTCTTTAGCAATTTCTGACACTTTTTTCCCATTTTCATGCATTTTCCATATGATCCGCCTCTCCTCGGTTGTTGTATGCTTGTCTGATCCCATTTTGAAAAAAATTTTCTTTATACTTGTTTTTGTTTTTTTAACTCTAACAAAGTATCAAGTGATCCGAATGATATCTACACGTGTAATAACTATTTCAAATAAATTGTGCCATTTACATGTCCACTTAAAGTAGCTTTGTTTACGAAAAAATAATAACGGTAAATAATTAGCAGAATAAAACGGAATATTTGAGTGCTGCTGAAACAAAAATTCTTAAAGCAACAATCTTAAGAGATAATTGTAGCATTTTATAAAATTTCTAGTTGACAAAACATAAATTTTTTTCTTAATTAAAATGTGTGCCATTTATATGTCCATCGCTGTATACCCATTAATTTTTTGAGAAAATTTAAAGTGTTTAAAAATTGTTTTGAATTGACCCCAAGTACGCAAAAAGGATTGATTCTAAGGTCTCCGGATTTATTTTAGTGAAGTTTGCCATAATTAGGGATGCCAAACGGGAATTCCCGAAAATCCCGGGATTTTTCAGACTTAAGATGACTCTACTAACTTACAAGCTAAAATATCAAAAATAAAAAGGACAATAAATAGGCATAGATACTATCGGATACCTAAAAATAACAAGTAGGAAATTATGATTTAGTTTTCATAATAAAGCATTTGAGTTGATTTGTACCTCGCCTCCGATATATTTATGCAATTTATGGTTAAAAAACAAATTTTTTGAAATATGCTTTATATGAGGGTTTACCCGAGCCGATCCTCATAAAATTTGGAGGATGAATTTACGGTTACATAAAATGTATTTATGCTGAATTTCATTGCATTCATATTTCAAAAAATTTGTCTTTTTAAGCGAATTGTGGACATTAAAGTCATTTCTTGAAGGGGGGCTTTGTATGGGGCTAGAGTCAAAAAGATTGCTCATACCTTGGCAAAAGCTGGAACTACGATGGCTATACTTGATATATGTAATGTTTACGACCATTAAAAACCATATATCCGATATTTAGCTCAAGACGGTTGGTCACATGAGTACACTTGCTCAATTGCTAAGGTGCTGTAGCCTCGTATGAATCCTCTTAAAACATACTACCTAAATTGTAGGTTTCAACAAATTGTAAATTTGGAAACCATGCAAGACGCATGGTACTTCATAAGTAGGTTTTTATTCTACTATTCAGTACCTGGGATGGAAATTTTATGAACTGATATTGAAAAATTGACCGAGTATACCCTTGTACCGCTGTATCTAGAAAGTACTGTATTTAAATATCTATTGTATTATTTTTAATACTTTGAATTAATTTGTTTTCCAAAAATTTCACAAAGTACTTATGGGAAAGCTTTCTGTATTAGTAAACACATACCTACTAAGTGTATTCATACCCAGCAAAATCTTTGCTTACAATGATTACCATTAAGTACTTTATTAATGACTTACTTTGTATGTAAAATCTAAAAAAAATCAAAATAAAGAAACAAACAAACATAAAACAGTTACTTTTTCTTTTTTTCCGTTTTTTGTGCACACGATATCAAATATATATATATTTTTAGACAAACAGAAAATAAAATAGTATTTGTGTGTGAAAACTATTATTTGACGCACAATAAAACAGCCAAGCAGTGGTGTAGTGAGTGGAGCATCCAACTGGCGGACGAAAGGTATTGAGTTCAACCCCAGTCTGTGTCGACTTTTTATTTTTATTTTTTCATAAATATTCTATAAATAACTCTACTAAAAAAACAACTTATTTCCAACCAAATAATATTGACTTACTTTTGGAACATCTCAAACAAAAATAAGTACTTTTTCTAGTAGAATTGTAAGCACTTTACTCGATGAATTCTGGTGATTTTTCTAGTGAATTTGTAAGCAAATATTTTGCTGGGTATTGTAATATAAAATAGAAAATGTTATTCTTGTCGGCAATTTATTAAGATTTTTTGAAAATTTATTTATATTTTTCGGGATCCCAATATCGGGATTCCAGGATTTATTTAAAAATCCCGAATCCCGGGATTTTTAAAAATCAGTCCCGATTGGCATCCCTAGCCATAATGTATTCATAATTAAATATGTACACAATATTATGCTATTTTTAATAAAGAATATCAAATATACTAAAACTTGACTCTGAACACGGTTTTTAAAGGGTTAACGATTCTCGATTTTAGAAAAATTATCAGCAATATCTTATTATGTACTCAGAAATAATAATCTCAATTTCTTGATCAAAATTATGCAACAATTTGTAATAAAATAATTTTTATTAATTATTGACAAAAATTTACTTTTTCCCGAAATCCTTCAACTTCTCATCGCAGGTACGGCAAAACTATGAGGGGTATTGAGTACATTATTTTAATGTTTTCTTATATACTCCTTTATAAAATCCAATATAGAAAATTTCAATTTTTTTAAATCCAGTGAAAAAAATTAAAGTTTGAAAATGGAGTTTAGAAGATGCGTTTAAAATAGTGGTCCTTTTTGACCACAGTTATTCGATTTAAACAAATAATCGTTTTTGCACATTTATGAATCTTATATATTTTTTTTTGTATCGTCAGAACCACAAAGTTTTAATAACTCAAACATTTTTTAACCAATATTAAGTTATTCTGACTTTTTGGAAAGACAATTTTGTATACATTACGATTTTACTATAATATGGTGCTAAAATTAATATTAATTCCTCATTTTTTGATAAAACTCTAAAAAGTGCAACTTTTTCCATATACGCGGGCTCTTATTCTGATATTTTACAGTCTGCTATTTGACCTTAAAATACCGAGTGAAAAGCGTATTTTCGACCCACCCTAATATACATGTCTGTTTTCGTAGATAAATGTCTGAATAATATTGTCCCTCGAAACATATTAAACAAATACTCTTCTTAACTATTTATTTATTTATTTTTTTTTTTTTTTTCAGAAAGTCCGGATTATTACTCATCAATATTTTCTTTGAAATCTTCTCCTAATAGTGACCTTGTTTCATATCCCACCAAATTTGTACCACATTATTCGACTTTAATCGGAGAAGTGTACAGACGTCATTCAGATATCCAAAATGTGAGTGGTTATCAGGTTTTACGCTTTGTCACTGAATTAGTACCAGCCGCAATAGCAATTTCTACTGAAAACATTTCATGGATTTGGACATCAATTATATTCATAACATTACTGATATTTGGTGTATCTCAATTATGTGTTATGTGGAAGCCCATTTCTTGTGCTTTGGGAAATTCAACAAGCGCTGTTTTGCTGAGTTGTGTAACAGGTCTTCTGTTAAGCATTCCTTTTGCTACGGAAGTAGGTATTACATTACTTCACTATATGGATATTTTATTGGGAGGAGCTTGGTTCATTCCGGTTTTGTGGGCTGCTGAAATCTTTGGAGTTTTTCTTATTCGCGGTCGTCCATATAATGGCGATGACCTTGTAAACGACTTAAAAATGTGTGGATCAATGTCTGCATTTTTAGCACTATCGTGGAACGTTTTGCTTCCCATCGGCCTTATAACATTGGCTGTAATTGAATATAAAACTTCAATGACTAGTCAATTATACTATTGGCGTGGGAAATCATATTTTAGTTACTGGTCGAGAAAAGTGGGTGCTTTAACACAAATAGGTTTTTTACTTTTAGTACCTATCTCAGCAATTGCACAAATATACCGCTATTTAACTTCGGGACCTCCCGACATTTTAGACGTAAGTTTGAAATTAATATCAACCAGTTGTATCGAATAACATTGTATTTTCAGCGAATTCAGATGCTTTATAGACCTTTGGATGAAGTGGAAGGTGGCATACCTATAACTAATAGAAATATAATGAATCCAAGATATCGCAACGAGAACAATGAAAATTCTGTAATTGGGCAATGCCAGGACGATGCACCACCCAAATATACACCACCTCCATCATATACAACAGCAACAGGTGCCAGACTAGCAAAAATTTTACGTCAGAGTTTAAGACGCAGTGTTAGACGGTAGATGTTAATACATACCTTTAAATTAACTGCTATATCACATTATTTTATTTTTCTAATTTTTAGCATTTTGGGCGAATCCGAAAGACCCAGGCCAACACTCCCAATTCAAGATGAAAGCCAATCTAATCCATCGGTCTTGTCTAGCCGTTCTGAAACTACAAATGAAATTAATACAAGTGAAACCATTGAAATTGAAAATAGACCTTCACATAATTTACTTTACGGTCGCAGCCTGTCTTTAGGACGCAAACAAATAGTAAATAAACGTCGTTTGAAGGAGGAAAATGGAAGGCCAACATCAGCTCGTTCTAGTTCTAATAGTAGATCGTCACGAACACTAAACGACCGTCCATATACAGCTGAAGATGTTATAACCATTCTCAGATCTTCAACACTAGGAAGAAGAAGAATATCGCAATCAATAAATCCACAGAACGAATCCGTATATCGTTCCATCGAAAATTTAGTTGAAAATGCTGAACCACCAAATTTAAGTTCACCCGCTATCGACGATTATTCTAATCAAAATTCAACTTCTGTGATCTAAGATAACATTTGAAAGCATAATTACATATTAAATATGCCGGCTAAATTTAATGACTATTTGATTTCATAATTTTAATATGATCAATTTTATTTAAAATTTTCTTTCATTCAATTACACTATGCAACAAATTTGGAGTTATCGAAACTTTCCCGAATGAGATCGACGGAAAATGATAGTGCTCAGTCAATAGACAAAATACCCCAACGGTTTTTAAAAAGTTAGCTTGTATTATTTGTTTATAGGCATTTTAAACTTAGCTATTTTCAGGAAAATTTTCCCATATATATAGAGGATTTCATGTAAAGTGATCCAACCGATGTCTTCCGATCGGGATAGTAGTTTAGACACAAGATCGGTCAAAAACTCTATGAGTTACAGTGGGTCAAAGTTTGACACTTGAAAAAACATGTGTTTCTTCTTATCTATGTAGCTATGTACATAATTACCTCAATAATGGCTCAAAAGAAAGCTTATATCTTTTCCTCTAAGAGCCTTTTGGTCGCTTAGTGGTATGCCAGTGGGATATGTATCAAAATATATGTTTTGTAATTCAAGATAAGGTTCTTTTAAATTCAAATCGCTTGTTTTTGAATTCAGAAAAGATTTATTTATTTATTTGTCCATTACAATACAATTACAAATTATATTCTAACCTTATTTACCTATCAGTGTGGCTATGACCATACGCCCGTTGTAATGCAGCAGACCAGAGTGGTGGGAACCGAACACCCCAGACTGACAGGCTAGCACACTACCAACTAGTCTACTGGGGCACCCAATTCAGAAAAGATATTGGTCTCAAAGTTTTTGCATGTGATTGCACACTGATAGCATTGTATTAGTAAAAGGAAAATTGCCGTGAAACTTCTCAAGTATAGTCCTGATGGTATAAGAATTAATTTCACTAAATATTAACCACGCCCACCTAATAATACCCATTTTATTTATGTACATCAGTATGAAAAAATCCAAAATCTTATATAAAATTTTCTCACATTATAATAACTTATTTTACAAAATGTTGACCTCTCCCACCAAACGCCCACTTTATATATATTACTGTAAAAAATATTTGAAGCATGTTTAAGGCAAAAGATTTTGAAAATACAAAGGTGTTAAAAGTATTCAGTTGTTGGACGTTTCTTTAAAATTTATATGTACACAGAAAAAAGTTTCATCATAAATATTATGAACTGCTTTCATTGCCTTAAGTTAATAATATTTAAGAATAAGTTCCTAAATTGTATGAAATTTTTCATTAGGTGAGAAGTTACACTCATTTGAATAAAACCCTGTATGACCAAAATATCTGCAAGTGGCCTCGGCCAAATCAAACATATTCGCAAACTATACAAATGTACTTAGGGTTACACTTTATTAGGATTATAACATTTTGCAATTTTTGCAAATATCAAAAATATCATAGCAACCCCTTGTAGAGTGTGAACATTTTGGGCAACAATTTTGTTAGATTATCGTAAAGAGAATATTTATAACCATTTGGAAGAATTTCTAGTAAATCGCGATTATTTTGCATATTTAAGATAATATGAAACATTTATATAAAATTTATTAAAATAATTTTAATAAAAATAACGAACAAAACCATTTGGAAATTGCTGTCGGTGCGGGAAGTTTTTTTTTACCAAATTGACTAAAAAATAGATTTTTATTATGAGGACAGTATGTATTGGCAATTGTTGTTGATGTTGTAACAGCTTAAACTATGCAATTTTTAATCCGGGGGTTCTGTATTAAGGTCGAAGCTAATAAATTGGCTACTTCTACAGGGTTAGTCCATAAATCCATTGGGCTAAGTAAAGTAGTGTGGGCTGGACAGTTGGATATGAGGTTGGTATCATGTGGATAGGGTCCACATATATTAAGGACGGCACGGTCTATGCGTGACCAGTAGGCGGTGAGAAAGTTGCTCCATCCCGATCTTAGTTGTGCCAGACCAACTGTTGTTTTCCGCGGCAGGTTCTTTTATATTTCTGCTATAGGCGGTGGGCGACCTCCAAGTACGACATTCATGCGGTAACCTGAAACCGCGGTACTATTGACGTCTGTATGAATGTCGTTCAAAGCTGCTGTATACGAAATCCGATCCAAGGGTTCCTGCACATATCTTCGTATACACGAAGGTCCTGCCTCTGCTGGGAAATGCGGCAGCACTACTGATAGCCGACCAGCAGGAAAAAAGCGGGCTGCTGCTGCGATGACTGTTTCGCGGAATTTGCTTTCTGCTTGGTGTACGTTGCCAGAAGCTGGAAGATCATTGGATATTCGAACAGTAAATTCTCTGAAACCATGCCAGTCTGCTTTCTTTTGGTTTATGTAGTGTCGGCGTTCAGAAACGATAAAGTCATTGGGACGATTCAGACATACGATTATGGTGGTCTGAGGCTAGAGAAACTACTGTTCTCCACCTTGCGCCAGACCAGGGCTCGCTATTGTTATGTCTGGGAAGCTTGCGCATTTACCCATAATCCGTGTTGGGGCTCTATACTGCACTGTGTTGTGTATGATGAATGCTATGCCCCCACCGTTGCTTCTGGTGCGGTCTTTTCGGAGAACGTTGCAGACTGGAATTACTCGTCAGTTTTGTCTCTTGGACTGCAGCGACCACGATGTTGTTATGCTGGTGTAGATGTTGTGTTGTGTATGATGAATGCTATGCGCCAACCGTTGCTTCTGATGCTGTCTTTTCGGAGAACGTTGCAGACTGGAATTACTCATCAGTTTAGGCTATTGGACCGCAGCGAACACGATGTTGTTTTGCTGCATAAATCTGGTTATCTCGGGTAATTTACTCTGGAGGCCATTGCAGTTAAACTGCAATATGGATATCACCCCAGGTCTCTGGAATGCAATCGATGGGGTCAGCAACGAGGGTTGTTGTTTGTGTAGTTGTTGTTGGGGTTGACAGCCCTTGCTCGATAATTTCGGGTCATTCCAGTAGAATCGGCTATCGGGAGAATGACAGTATTGGCAATATGATAGTGCTGTGTTATAACAGTAATGCACATATGTATGTATATAGATGTTTGATCTTTGCATTCGATTGACAAACAATTTAACAAACATATCAAACACAATTCACGATCTAGTGTATTGTAAATATTTACTATTAATTGTGAACGATTTTTTCTTCTTTTGTTTACAGCTAATTGCAAACACACAAAATACACGGCTTTTTGCTGGCTTTTCGTTCTTTCCTCTATCTCCGGTGCTTCTAGAATATATATTATAATCCTATTTGTCGCCTTTGGTCCATTTTTTTTTAATTTACTATTTTTTTATTGCTTTTTTATTTCTTGTTTTTATATAATTTTTTTTATTTTTTGAGCTGTTAGTTTGTATTGCAAAATGTTGAGTAAATAAAAACTACGTATTTAAGTGTAGTATATTTTATAAACCGTAGCATGAGTATTTCTGTATATTTTGTTAGTGTATTATAAAAATATACTAAACCATTGGTAAATGCAATGATACACGACCATTTACACTAGATTGTGAATTGGACTTATATTTCGACAAAAAAAATAAAATATGTAAGACACAACCAATTTTCACCATCGCCTATTATTTTCAGAATTTAGATTTGAATTAAACGAGTTAAACAATAAAATATGTTTGCTCATTTTTTTACTTCTCACTTTGAATGCACATATTTTACAAGTGTTATTTAAAATTGGCAAAACAAAATCTGAATAAAATTTTATGTCTTTAGTGAAAGGCTGTTTCTTTAAAAGACTAATTTTTGAGTATCATTCTTATTATTTTTGACGTATAGGAGCAACCACTGTGGATCGGTTTCAAAAGTGTGACACTTAACATGAAATCCCCCATATGTATTTTATAGGGTAATTTCAAACAATTTTGAACATTTGGTGCACACATTCTTTTTATGCATAATAAAATTTAAGTACTCTAAAATTTACAAATTTATGACGGTTTTGATTTTATCGAAGTTCATATTTTTAAGAGTTTTTCTAAAAATCATTACATTTTATATGGTATATTTTGTAATATATTTATTCGATTTTATTTAAAATCGTTTTAAAATAAGGATTATTAACCTTTATATTATCATGATGATATCAAAAAATGTCCTTGTATCAACGGTATCTCCCATTTTCATTATTTCTTCACTGAAATTACTTTTTAGTATCAGCAACAACAAATCGAAATAAGGCCATGGGGATCTCCAGAAAATCAAATTTTCAAATTTCTTGCTTGGCGAATAAAATTAAATTAGTAAGATTATCTACTTGGTTAATCGATTATTCGAAACTTTCCAAATCCGGTTTTCGAATAGTTGATATTAGAAAAAAAACCTGTTGATATTAAATTAAAACAAGTAATAGTTGTATATTCGGCTGTGCCGAATCTTATATACACTTCACCATGATGTGTTAAAAAACAGTAACTTCGAAATTATTACAAAGAATAAAAAATACCAGTCGTAAAACGAAAAAGTACCAGAAAGTCTAATTTTAAAGATTTTCAACCAATCAGGGTGCTACCTGTGGGCATAAAAACAAAAAGTGCCAGTCATAGATCGAAATAGTACCAAAAATCCTTTCCTGCAGATTTTCGCTATCTTAGGACTCTTAATGTTTAATTTTATATTTCTAGGTTCATGAAGAAGGAAAATGTAATAAAAAGTCCCCATTTATGTTCTCGCTCACTTAATTTCATTTTTCCATGTTCAATATGGTTGAAAATTCAAAAGGTACCTGTTTAAGTACAAATCTATTATTTGCGGTATTTTTCCTCTAAGTGTAAATCCTAATGATTTACTACTTTAGTTTACATCTTTGATGGAAAACTATTACTAATTCAACGAGTAAACCGCTAACTGTATTTAAACATTGTTAGCCTCCATACTTAGAAATAAGTAGTTGTTTTCACTCGTCATATAGAAGCCTTAAAGAGCACTTCTTGTTGTGCATACATGCTTAAGGTAATATATAAATAAAGGAAGACAAATCTTCTCCTTTTATAAAACTAATAATTCTTTGTGTTTTATTCTTTTTGTGCATTTACACTGAACCATATCGGATTGACGCCGAAACATTGGTCGCTTCGAACCGGATTAATTAAATTGTTGCTTCGAATCGAGGATAATCTACACATCTTGATCTTAATCAAGCGGATAAAACACGAAGAAGTTCATCCTCCAGCATATGAAAGGAAGACCCCTTGCCAAGGAATTTTACGTGCCCTTTTGTTTGGAGAGTTTTTAAGATCGCTTTTTTTTGAAGGTTAGTAAATTGATATAAAAGTGATTGTGTCAAAAGGAAAAGTATATAAACATACATAAATACATAGTATGTATATACGTGTGTGTGTCTTATAAAGAAAAAAGCAAATAAAACAACAAGTGTCTATTGTTAAAAAAAGGGAATTAATAATTTATAATAATTTATTGTGAATTAATTTTAATCCCTATTTAATACATCCTTGCGCGATTATATTTTATACAGTACCTGTTGACAGATAGTGATCGGTACTTTTTTAATCAAGGCTGCGTTTGTTTACATTGGACAACAGCCATAATTGATAATTAAAAATTGCATTTGTTTTTCGGCAAATTAATAAAAAATTAACTTTTCACTATTTAAAGAAAATTATTTTGGTGTTAATTTTTGAGTGAAATAAATAGTGATCAAAATAATTAGTGACTGCATTTAATGCAAGGTTTGTTCACACAAATTTAATATTAGTAATTGTGTTGTGAAAGATAAAATTCTTCTTCTTCCTCCTTTTACTAATTTATTGTTAGTTACCCTACGGTCGGTCGATTTGACTTTTAATAGTTTGTTTGGAAAGTAACAATACAAATTCGATTTTTTGTGATTTTTGAAAGCTGCTTCCTATTTTTATAGTATTTTACCAAAATAAATCCAATCTTAAAATTGTGAAAAATGCCTTTGACAGCCCTCGAACGTTTCACTCGTGCTTCAGACGCCGTTATAAAATTTGAGGCAAACTTTAATAATATACGCGAGGAAGAACATCACGTGTACTACTTCGATGTTTTGGAAAGTGAATTGAAGATGTGTTGGGAAAAGGTGAAAATTACTTCCGATAAGTGTTTAGACGATCTTGAATCTTCTGAAGACGCTGAGCCAGAAGATATTCAAGTGGCTGAAAGTAAATTCCAGAGTACCCTTAATGTTTATGCGCGATGTTCAAAGTCGATTAAAATTAAGATTGATGAATTGGAAGCAAAGACTAAGCCTAAAGTTTCCCATCATCCAAACAATGATTCAAATTTTGATAATGTTAGTCATAATCTACCTCTTCCGCCATGTGATACGGACATCTTCAACGGCGATTATCTCTCATGGCCTACATTTAGGGATCTTTTCACTGCTTTATATATTAATAACAGTCGGCTGAGTAATATCGAACGATTATGTTATTTAGTGAAAAGAACAGATAACGAAGCGAGAGAAATTGTATCTAAATGTCCGTTGACTAATGCTGGGTTTGATATAGCGTGGAAAAGTTTAAAAGATACATACGAAAATCCTCGAATGCTAGTTAATAATCAGTTAAAGTGTTTGTTTGGTTTAGAGACAATAACAGAAGAGACTAGTTCCTCTTTGAAAAGGTTACAGCGCGGAATCAATGGATTTTTAACTGCTATGTCGATATATGAGATTCCCACTCAAAATTGGGATCCAATTATCGTTTTTATTTGCATACAAAGACTGCCCTCTCAGACAGTGACACTATGGGAACAAAGTGTTAAGGACAAAACTGCCTTATCTTTATGGAAAGATTTGGACATGTTTTTGACCGAAAGAATCCAAACGTTAGATTGCATACGCGATCTTAAGAGTTCCAATACTGATAAGGAAGGCATTGAACGCAAGGAAAAGACACATGTTTTGAATACAAGTCCTACGAATGCTTGTGTTTTATGTAAAAAACCGGGTCATTTACTTCGTTTTTGCCGTCAGTTTGATAGAATGTCTATTCCTGAGAGATTTAGAACGGTTAAAAAATTTCATTGCTGCATAAATTGTCTAGCTAACTCACATGAAGTTAATGATTGTTTAAGTGAACATCGTTGTTCTATTTGTAATAAGCGGCACCATACTTCACTACATCGGGATTCTTCAGCTTCGCAAAACTCTAGAAATGCACTTCATTAGATGACAACTCTTCTTTGGTTTTACGACCATACAATCACACTCCTAATGACCAACGACCTACTAACACGTCAACTGCATTGGTAGAAAGACCGTCTACGTCAGGCACTATAGTTGAACGGCAAGTATTTCATACTAGTCAAAATTATTCTACTCCTTTGGGTACACTGACTAGCAATGTACCTCCTACTTCATTAGATGACAATTCTAGTGTGGTTCTACGACCCACTAATCCAACTCCTAATGACTATCTGCCCACTTTGTCAGGTACAACAGCTGGAAGACCTACTACGACATGCACCATGACTGAACGACAAGTATTCCATACTCGTAGGAATCATTCTGTTCTTTTGGGTACAGCAACAGTCGACTTGATACACAATGGCTGTAGGTATCAAGTTAGAGCATTAATTGACCCTGCTTCAGAATGCACTATCATTTCTGAAAAGTTGAGAAAAAGTTTAAAGCTTCCAACAATTTCCGAAACAGCGAAGTTTTCAGGCGTAAATGAAGAATTTTCGGCCATTTCGATGAAGACTTGTAATTTGGTGATAGGTTCTAGTACTGATTCATCATTTTTATTAAACACTTCGGCATCTGTTTTGCCAAGCATTTCAGGAAATCTGCCTTCGGTTTCGGTTAATGCCGACAAA